ATTTGACCCTCTTTTCTATTTTCACTATCTCTTCTCCCCCCCCCCCACCTGCCGCATTTCTTTGAATCCTCCAAAGGCTGCCAAGATCTCACAAGACTATGTGGTGAAATCTTGCCTGCCATTTTGGAGTGGCAACCTCATACATCTTCCCCAGGGCTGGCTGATGGACCCTTTTTGGTGCATTGAGAGGAGCAACATTTGCCCAGTGCATTGAAAAGGGCCCCAAGAACTTTAGTAAAATCTACAGTAGTCTGCATCAGAGATATGGGCTTCAGCAACATTTTGTGGGGTCGCTTAGCAGCTGCTCCAAAAGGGCCAACAAGATCACAATTGGCATTCTTTAAGGTTTTTAAATCCCACACCATTTTTTAGTTCACACGTTTTATTGAAAATCTGGAGGGGGGGGGTTCTGCTAGGCTTGCAGAAGCACCTAGTCCTAGGTGGCCCCATCATGCAGAATTTTTGGTTCACACAATGGGACTGTCATGGGAATTAGATATATGATGATTACCATTATGTAACCCAGGGATGCGGTCCTTAATGAGCCTGTGGACGCTTTTGAAAGTGGGCACCACCAAAATTGGCTGCCATGAGGGGCAATGATGAAAGGTTGGGAAGTTTAAAGCCAAGCATCCTTCTGTGATGGGGGGGTAGCTATTTCAATATGGGTGCTTCCTGAAGAGGCACAAGTGATGCCTACTGAGGTTTTCTTGGGTACTTTCTGCTCCACCAAGGTAAACAGAGTCAATATTGGCCATTTGCTTTGGGGAAAACAGGTGTTTGTGGGAAGAAACAAGTGGGCACCATGCCACTCCCGGGGACCATGTTGTAAATCGTTGATATAACACAGCTTAACTTTATTTTATTTTGGTGAGTGTGTGTGTTTGTATGCCTGGAAGTGTTGTTTGACTTCTGGCAACCCCTACTGGGACTTTGACATTTCAGAGAGGTGGCTTGATAATTGCCTGCCTTTGCATCCTGGCCCTGATATTCCTTGGAGGTCTCCCATCCAAGTACTTGCCAGGGTCGGCTTTACTTAGCTTCCGAGATCAAGATCGGGCTTGCCTGGGCTATCTAGGTCAGTATTTCCCAACCAACGAATCTCCTGCTAATGCAAACGTGTAAAAATCTCTCTTTATTTCCTAGAATCTGAATATTTGTGTGTGTGATTGTGCATTGTTTGTGTGTGAAGATTTACAGTAAAAGACATTATTCTAACTAAAACTCAGTCTCCTTGTCTGTTACTGGTATTTCTGGAAGAGTGGCACCCTCTGTATATACAGGTGAAAGGTCCTTTAGCTGATTGCTTAATAATAATTCATAATTCCCCAATATTGATAATTAATCCAGAGCAATCAGGCTAACATAGTTGTGGAAGAGACCCCCTCACTTCTGCAGGAGTATACCACATACCATGCAGTTGTGGACAAATTTACATTGGGACCACACAGCGTAGCATTCAGACAAGAATAAACATGAAAGACACTGCAGACTTGACCAACCTGAAAAATCAGCAGTGGCTGAACATAGACTAACTCAAACAGGACACAGTATTTTGTTCCAAGATACTGAAAGGCTGGATAACACTTCCATCAATGGCTATTAGCCACAAGGTATAGATAGGGGCTGTGGGGCAAGTGATGCTCTGTCATCTTGGTGCTTGGGGGGGGGGTCAACAGTGGGAGGGATTCTAATGTCCTGGCCCCACTGGTGGACCTCCTGATGGCACTGGTATTTCTGGCCACTATGTGATACAGAGTGTTGGACTGGATGGGCCTTTGGCCTGATCCAACATTGGCATCCCTTATGTTCCTTATGTTCCACACAGCTCAATTTTAGACAGCAACAAACTGGGGAGAGAATGTTTATCTAGTACAGTATTTATTTACTTTAAGTTCTTTCACACTGTCACAGACTGGATGCCCCATGAGTCTGATCTAGTCAGGCTGCAACCATATGAGTTGGTAGCACTAGTAGTGAAACACTTGACTGCTGACAATCCTCAGATAGTTGACTAAGGAGTTCTTGCTTCTGATACAAGCAGAGGAACAATCTGTACACTGCTAGTGTTGGGCTTGGCATTAGAATGTGCAAATGCCTCTCAAAGTAGTAGCTGTCTGAAAAAAATTGATCCGAGTATGGAATGAGCAAGCAGTGAGCAGCCTGAGGCTCTGTACTGTATGAAGTGAGAGAGAGCAGCCGCCCTGGGATAACTGCGTCCCAGAGTTTTCAATTTTTAATGATGGCAGAAAATGGCTGTTGGCGGTTCATCCAAAAGTCGGGTTTCTCTTATATTCCTCCCGTTCGATTTTTATTGACCCCTTTCACTAGGGGATAATTTCTGTGCCTTATGCATTTTCCACTTGAGGGAACCGACATCGTCATAGTGGGAGGAATGCGGAGTGCATAGCCTTATCAAAAGATGGGGAGCAACTGGGCGGAAAGCTGTTCCCAAGATAACAGTGAATGGAGAGGTTGGGAGGAATATCACACTGTGCTTTGTGAGGATCTGTCCTCCTTGCTTATCTGCTTGTCAGCTTCTTCCTTAATCCACAAATGATGGTATCCTTTTCATGTCTGCTAATGATGCAAAGTTGAAAAGGAATGCAAATGTTGTAGAAGACAGGATTCATATTTCAAACGACTACAGCAATACCCTAACATTCAGCAGTAATGCCTGTAACTCGTTGCACAGTCTAAAGAAAACCAAGGAGAAATATGGAATGGGTAAGGATGTGAAAGAAGCCTGGTTGAATCACTTCAAAGATCCATCTAACCCAGTATCCTGGTTAGTATCCTCTGGGAAGCCCACAAGAGCAGCACCCTGTAGCTCGTCCCATTCCCATTTGATTCTGATTGGCCCTTTGCCTCAGTAGTTGGCTTCCACATGTTACAGTACAGTGAAAGAGCAGTTAGGGGAACAACAAGTTGGACAAAGGATTTGGGAAGCTGATGTGTAAGGACAAGCTGCAAATGTAGACTATGTTTAAGAGTGATGATTGGGAAGTAGCTTCAAACATCTGAAACACAAAGGAGAGTTACCCACAAATCGACTTGGATGAAGCCCTGGATGAGAAATTAATGATAGCTGGAATGTTGATTAATGATATTTTTAAGATGGGCAGACCTAAAGCATTTTCTACACACGTACTGCGTACGTGTGTGATTTACGTACACGTGTGATTACGTACATGTATGGCTGTGAACGTGTGTGATTTAAAGATTTATATGTTGTCCTCCCTTACCCCTTTGGATCATTGTTAGTCCCGTGTGTATTTGAGTAACTGTAAATCGCTCAGAGCCAGCAGCTCTGCAGGATTGGGCGATTAATAAATTGAAAGATTATTATTATTATTATTATGATCAAAAAGCGTGTCCTAGAAATTGGTTAAGAACATGAGAGAAGCCAATGTTGGATCAGGCCAATGGCCCATCCAGTCCAACACTCTGTCACACAGTGGCCAAAAATACCAGGTGCCATCAGGAGCTCCAGCAGGTTATAGTAGTCTGATCCTGAGAGCCCACAGAGTTGCTCACCCCCATCTTTATTCTGTCTTTTCCAAGATCTTTACTCCCCCTGTATATACTGTCTTACCATCCCACATTACTATAGAGCTTTTTCGTTTGCAAGATTGAATATTATACTTACAATGGTTTTACAGGGGAGATTCTTGAATAGGCCCTGTTCTGACAGAATCTGCCCTTCTGGCCTTAATAGGATAGAGGCATCCTTCCATGCCCTGCTTGAATGCAGGTTCTTTGAGAGTATAAGGGATCACTATATCAAGCCTACACTCTGGAAACCCTGGCTCTTTCGCTCAGCGATAAGGATCCTAACTTTACTCTAGCAGCTGCAAAATTTGTCTCAGTCCTTTTAGCCCTTACATTAAAAAAGACGCAAGTGTCCTCTTCTGTTCAAGAGCTGTGAATCAGTGAGCTTCTAAGGGTATAAAATGAAAGGACAAATTGTCTACTGACATGGTCCTGCTTAGGAGAAACTCCTCCTTCTCTATTTGGCCCTTTGGCAAAACCTGTGTCCTTAACGGAAACTATGAACTGGTATGTTTATAACTGCATTTGCCCACATCTGTATTATTTTATTAGATTTCTTATCCCATCCTTCCTCCATGTAGCTCACAGCAGTGTTATAAGCTTCTTTTCTCCTACCCCAACCCCAATTTTATCCTCAAGCAGGCCCCAGGTGGTGGATGAGGCAGTACGGTAGTGACTAACACATGGTCACCCAATGAGTTTTGTGGCATGGGATTGTACGTCCTTCTCTTCCCTCTGATTCACCCACACTTATGAAATTTATTGTAAGCATCGTGGGGCAAGGATTTACAGACGGATTTAGGCAGAAAATAAAATTGGCTAGGCAGAGCGGAACTTCTTCTGCAGGAGGTTTTAATAGAGCACTTCCTGTGTTTAGAGCATTATGCCACTGGAGAGGGTGAGATTAGATGACCCTGGAAGGGGGCCTCTTCTCCACCCCTCCCCCATTTGGTTTAGGTTAATAAATACTGCAGTGTATCTAGACAGCGCTTGCCAGTGCTACTAATGGTAGCCATAGTTCAAATCATTTATTCAGGCCTTTGTTGAAAGGCCACCGAGATAAATCTCCAGCCCCATCTGCCCCTGAATCGTAATTGCAAAGGCTTGCATTCTCTGCCCTTTTCCTTATTAGACTCTGAGAGCACACATGTTAATCTTGATAAAGATCTCTAGAGCCCCGTCTGCAGTGACGGAGGAACTGGGAGGGGGAAGGCTGTGACAGATGTGTGCTTTTGTCAAGGGCGGCTTATAATCCTCTAGCTGTTCGGTTTCTAAAAATGAGAATTGGGTTGGGTAACAGACTTTGTACAGTGTTGTGTCTCTCCGGATGCATAATGGAGACTTGGGTTCCAGCTGTCTCCTCTCTTTGCAGAAACTGTCTGTCTTGTGAATCTAAAGATACGTCATTGTCTCTTTGATCCCACCAACCTTTCACCTCTTTCTCCCAGGAGAACTGCTGAGTCAGCCCAGGCCAGAGGGAGTGGCTGAGATCATCTGTCCCAAGAATGGAAATGAGCGAGTGAATGTGGCTTTGGTATATCCGCCGACACCAACAGTGATCAGCCCTTGCTCCAAGTGACCTCTGGAAATCGCCTGTCTTTGCCCCCTGTATAAGGACACTCCAACACCCTGTAATCAAACAAGCCCCTGCTAAGCATTTTTGGAAACATACAGCCCAGAGATGACTCTGATTTGTTTTTAGGGACCTGGACATTGCAGCATGGGGAAAAAGGTATAGTGTAATATCCTCTTGCGAGTAGAGAATATTTGCCCTTGGAGGTCTTGTTCTGTGCAGGCACTGAAGCTAAACTTCAGTGTTTCGTGAAGGTTTTTTTCCCTTTCATGGCATTTGTACCTTCAAAGTACCTGTCCCTTCATGGGCTACAAATGGATGCCTGTCCTTTTTTTGGATGAAACGTCTGTGCCTGCCATAATTGCAAATGCTCTGAAATCTGCCCACAACACCTGCTCTGGGCAAACAGTGACAGGATTGGGATGACCTAAGTTGAGAGCAAGTTCAAAAGTTACTGGCGTGCAGGGCTTTTTTTGTAGAAAAAGCCCAGCAGGAACTCATTGGCATAATAGGCCACACCCAATAGCAGAAACTCATTAGCATATTGGGCCACACCCCTGACAGCACCACTCATTGGCATATTAGGCCGCACCCACATGTTACCAGAAGTGTGGTCATCCAGCCACACCAACCTTTTGCTTCTTATTCTGTTTACCTTGTTTGTTGTCAAAACCCAGAGCTTTTTTTGTAGCAGGAACTTCTTTGCATGTTAGGCCACACACCCCTAATGTAGCCAATCCTAATGAGTTTCTGCTGTTGTGTGTGGCCTATTATGCTAATGAGTTCCTGCTGGGCGTGGCCAACTCGGGAGTCAGCCGGACCTCCGTTCCTGTGCGTCCCTGCCCAAAAATAGCCCTGCTGGCGTGTCATGGCCAAAATACAGTGCCATCCGAAGCAGAGTCACACCCTTCAAAGCCTGTTGACTTCTGTGGACTTAGAAAGTATAGCATTGCTTGGGATGGTAGCGATTGTGTCTTCATACATATCTCATCAGACGTTGTCATTTCCCCCAGTCACTAGGTGGACAAATTCTAGTACTTTGGTTGAGGCAGCGGGCATCTGCTAGACGGCCTCCCTGTTGCTGTCGCAATAGACTGCTATTAACAAGACCTTTGTGGCTCGGCTTCGGCCCATTCATTCCTGGCCGTAGGAACTGAAAATTGAAATTTGCTGTACTGCCCACTTGAACTGTTTTAACTGGTTTTATTGTATTAATTTAATGTTTGATATTTATTAACTGAATTGTTTTAAGATTCTATTGGAATCTATTGCTGTGACCCGGGCTGTCCTGAGCCCGCTTGCAGGAAGGGCGAGATATAAATCGAAGTAATAAATACTCAGTTAAAACAAAAAAAGAACAGTTCCATCCTGTTTTTAGCAGTTGGGGGAGTGAGCCTGGATGAAGGAGGATGGGAGCAAACAAAAGGGTTTAATTGACAGGAACTAGCATTTTGAGTGGGATGTGCTCCAGAGGGGTTCATACACTGGAAGGGATTAAAGCATCCCCAAATTAACTGTATTTCATCATTAGATGTAAACTGGTTTGGGGATTCTTCTGGATTAGAAGACACAATAAAAATCAAATAAGCACTTTCTGTCACTGAAGGAAAAGGAGTCTCGTAACCTGACAGTATATTAAAAATGTTTAGGATGTTGAACCAATAAGGACAGACTACACTGCAAACTTGTCCAATATATATAGAATGGCAGGTCTCTTCTGGTTTTCTTTCATTCTCTCACAGCCCTCACCAAAATTTGCAGAATTACATTAGCCCCAATAGACATGTTTCAGGCGGAGTACAAGCAGGGCATCACCATCATGCCCTTATAGGGTATTTCCCTGGGGCATCTGTCTGGCTGCTGTAGGATACAGAGCGCTGAAGAAAACGGTTCTCATGGCAAGCCTGCATTTTTGGCTTAGCTCTACATACTTTTGTTTAGAGTTGCTTTTGTTTCTGGCAGAGGGGATATAATGGCATGCATATTCAGCACTGTAAGCCTTATAACCCTTGGGGGTTCTCCCCCCTGTCTTTTTTTGTGCACAGGTTAAAGGGAGCAGGGTGTGTCGAAAGCTACACATAGGACTGGGCACAGTTCTACAGTCTGGCTGAACTGATCCTTTACACCAGTCATGGGTTGGAGTTGTGCATTCACAAGAACTCTCTGCGGTAGTTTGCTGAAGCAGACGGTACGATGAAGCGTCCCCATCCTAAACTCCCCTTGAACTTTTGCGTTCACTCTGCTCTGAAGCCTCTGGATGGTTGTAATTGCCTCACCATGGCGATGCCCTGGGACTGAGAAATCTACAGACCTGTGTTGTGCACTTGTTTGGACCTGTTGATGAATGTAAGATTGTGCTGTCGTCATTCAGATGTACTCGAAGGAATATCTGCTGAAAAGGAAATATTGAGAACTTCCTATGGCTATTCCCATGCAGGTAAGTTTTTTTTTTTAATTGATCACAGGATTCCTCGGGGCTAGCTCCTGGTTTTCATGGGCTTCTTACCTCAACCTGGGCAAGCGAGAACATCCTGATCCTTAATGGACTCTCTTGACTGGCTTTGTGAGCAGCTGGGAAGGTGGGTTGGAGCGTGCATTGAGTCCAGCCCATGGCCTTGTCAGCCCTTCAGCTGTTCGTGGACCCCAACTTTGTGCCAACATCTGGTTTTTCCAAAAGGGTATTTATTCAAAGCTTCTTTAAAGAGCCTGTTCCCACATAACATACTCACAGATCAGTGTGTGCGAAGGAGCCATCATAGAAAGAAGTGGCTACATCTTTTCAAATGGTCCAATGTCAATCCTAGTAATAATTTTCAGTGTTGATAGTTCACACTTTCAGCTCAGAGTTCTCAAGTGTTTGGTAAAAGTGAGGAGAGAATAAGTACTAGATGCAGATGTGTGAACAAACTCCAAAGGACAGTGGTGTGGAGTGGAATGCGATCTGAGTAGCAGCAGTTAAATCAGGTTGTCCAATTAAAGCTTTTCTTCTAGCAAAGTTAACTCTTTCATTTTGTTTACAGGCTCCTATTTTTCTCTTGAAGAACCAAACTAAAACAGGCATTTACGGGGAAAATCCATTTTCAACTGATTTTTCCTAAGAAGAGCTAAACCTGGAGTTTCTATTTAAAACTTTATGAGAAATGCACGTCTTTCTCCAGGAAACATTTTAATTTGGTAAACAGTTAAACTCAATTTAAATCTCATGTGCTCCCAACACTGCATATCAGTAGGGCTGTCCACAGAATCAAGAATCTTTAGTGGCTTAATAATCTTCCTTTGAATGGATTATTTGATCAATTAAGCGAGTTAATCACCATTGCTGCCATCGTGATTTAGAAGACTTCACTTTAAATCTGCATATTAATTAAAGTCTCCAATCTAGATCCCTTTTTTGAGACACTGGAATAAGCATAAGAACTAGCATATAAATGTTTATTGTTCATTGATAAAAGGAAAGAACATCTAATGTTTTCTTTTTAATTGACTATTATGTACCTCACTAACTCCAAAACAACCCCAGTTTTACTTTTTAGATTGTAGTTCAACTAACTTTAAAGTTTTTCCTTGCAGTTTAAAAATTGCCTTTACTAATGTATTTATTTTGAAAAATTTTATGCTGCCTCTCCACAGTCCTGCTCAAGGCACCATACAAGTAAAAACAGTATCCTTAAAACCATCATAAATTGTCAATATAAAAGTAAAATGAGTCGTTTAGAGCTATAGTTGATTAATCTACTGATTAAATGAAGTAAAGCTTGTGAGGTTTTGGAAAGGAACACAGTTAGAAAAATTTAATGCTGTGGAAAACACTCATGGCACCAAGTTCTCCCTAAAGGAATAACTACATGACAAGTTCTCCAGAGAGGGCCTACCAACCCCTAATGACAAGTTCTCCAGAGAGGGCCTACCACCCCCTACACCTCTCTCTCCCAGGTTCAGTCAGGGTTACCAGTCGGTCAGGCTGTCACACATCGCTACCTTTCTAGTCTCTTTTAAAATCTCTAGAGAGCCGTGACTTTCACCTCTCAGGTCTTCTTTCTCACTCACAGAGACACCAGCAGACAGAGTAGCCAGCCTCCTTTTATAACAGGCCCTTGCTCAACCACTTCACAGAGTTATTGGGGTTGGGGACTCATACACTGTTCGATTCACACACGCTGCCACCATTTATTCCTATCCTAAAAATATAAAAAGACTGAGATCTTCCCTGGTGCGTGTGTGTGTGTGTTTCTTTCCCTCAGCCCAAAGAGTTACAAGGAATTAACTTTTATTTAGGCTGAAGAAAATAAGGTAGAGGTTACAATGTTTCTTTTCCCTTCAACTTCTGAACTGTTTCCCTGTTCCAGCATTTGAGGATGTTTTGTAACAAATTGACTTTTCTTCCCATTTAGCTTTAAGCTGCTCTTCACCTCAGCTTCTCTCAATCAGACATACTCTTTACTCTCTCTGACAACTCTCAACTGCTGTTTTCCAACTGTTGACTCACCAGCATTCTCTCATCTCCCATTGGTTGCTCCCAGGGAGAGGCAGAACCTAACCTGTCTGTCACACTGGGGGAAACAGAATGTTGGACCTTCAGACCGATCCAACGGGGCTTCAGCTCACTCTAGGATACTTGTGCCAAGAGATGTATGGGTTGGTGTATAAAGCAGTTGATCCTACTCATCTTACTGTTAATGAAACTCAAAAATAACAAGAGCTTTAGTTTGCCATGGACTACTTATCACCTGTTTAGGTAGCAGCTGTTCTGTAATCTTTGCCCATAACATGCGTTTATGTTCGCAACCCGTATTCAGTTTACTGTTAAGGGGGAGACAGCCCCTCTTTCTCCCTATAGAAGTTTTGTGTTTCCTTTTGGCTTGCTTAAAGGCAAACTGAAAGTCTGAATCCCATCTGTATCTTCAGTGCAGCTGAGAGAAGGAAGAGGCGGCAGGAAAGCTAGATAAATCCTTTATGCTAGAGATGTTAATACCACAAACTCTTCTTTAGAACGCCTGGATCGGGAATCAGTTTGGATATTGAATATCGTTCCCCCCAAAGTTCCGTGAGTTTTTTTTCTGGAAAGGGAAAATAATTCCTATGGAATGTGAAGGCAAGTTGCTTTACAACAAACAGGAAATGGGCCTCCCTACTACTGGCCCTCCTCCTTCCTCTGAATGTCCCTTGCCTTCAAGCCCCACTAGGGGTCGCCAGAAGTCAGCTTGACTTGATTGCTAAATAAATAAATAAAAAGAAGGCTCTTAAGCAATGCAGAGGCTGAGCCACGTACATCAGCTGGTCAGTGGTGTGGTATTTTCACATGGATCCTTGCTAACTAGCATCCAAGACTCTGCATGACTGAACAGGTGTGCAAGCAGTGTTCTGGCAGTTGAAACTGACACTTGGCTTACCAATGTTGAGGAAAAGAGAGCATTCGGTATCGATCCATTCTAGCTTGTTTCTAATGTACTGATTAGATTCTTATCCCATTCTCTCTCCAGTAGAGATTTGAGGCAGCCTGTGGGCTTCCCTCCTTTCCCAATTTTATCCTGATGACAGCTCTTTCAGTTTTCAAGCTAAGAAACAGAAAGTATCCAAAGAAATGGTGGGAGAGTTGAAATGCAGTCTCCCTCCTCAGCTCTGGCTTGACTCTCTATTTTGCAGGCTCTCTGAAATCGCTTTACTGATGGGTGCATTTTGAGCAGCTACTGTGTCTACTTCGCTAAGGCTGAGTCTTGAGTGGCCAAGGAAGGGCTGTGAACAAGCAGGGAGATATACCAAGAACAGACCTTGGCGGGCGGGAGGGGGGCTCCTAATCTCTTCCATGAGGAGCTAGTGAAGAACCTTGCTATTCAGAGATGGTGCTCCTCTACTAACAATGCTGGGTGGAGAATGTTTTTGATATCTGCAGGACCGCCTCTCCCACTATATCCCCTGAAAAGCACTGCACTCATAAGATCAACATCTGCTGGTGGTCCTTGGCCCAAAAGACATACATTGGACCGCCTCTCCCACTATATCCCCTGAAGAGCATTGCACTCATAAGATCAACATCTGCTGGTTGGTCCCTGGCCCAAAAGACATACATTTCGCCTCGACCAGAGCCAGAGCTTTTTTGGCTCCGGCCCCAACCTGGTGGAACACTCTACTCTCCCAAGTGAGATCAGGGCCCTGTGGGATCTTCTTCAATTCCGCAGGGCCTGTAAAATGAAGATGTTCTGCCAGGCCTTTGGTTGAACCAATGGGTGTCCAGTTATATTGGCCTCCCCTGCCTCACCCCCACTCTGGCCTAGTATGACACCTGATCAGAGATTACTGGTGGTGATTCCCCACTGTCCAGCTAATTAATCACGGGCACACCTTTATATAGATCTTATTGGAGCACTACGCACTTATGCCTACTTGCCATCTTGTATGCTGACTTATTATTGTTTGTATAAATTAGTCGATAGGGTGTTTTAACTGTTTTTAAATGTTTTACCATTTGTTGTAAGCCGCCCTGAGCCCTGCATGCAGGGGAGGGCGGGATAAAACTCTAACAAAATAAATAAATACATAATGTGCAGATTCTTTGCTGTAAGCATACTCTCCCCCCCCCTTTTTTTTTTTAGTTTCCCCATAGGAAGAAGCTAACAATTCTGTGGCTGCGTTGTGCTGTGGAAAAGGACACGGAATCAAAAACTGGAAGGACACTTTCCCAGGGACTGAATACATACCTTAACAAACCCAAAACTGAAATGAATTTTTAAAGTAATATATTAACTTGCAGAAGAAAAATGGACTTGGAGGATTCATTGCTCGACCCACGGCGTCAGGATCGTCCTCTAACAAAGAGCTGCTTGCCAGCCAACAGAATGGGTTGAAATGCTTCTCAGGGATTATGTTCATTGTTGTAGTTGAAAAAGCAACAACTGCAGTCACAATCTGGGGTACTCCATTTTCAAGTCTGTCTAATGTGAAAAGAGGGGTCACTTTGCTACGTTCACTGCTGTTCAGTGTGGTTGTTTGGTGTGTTTTTTTTTTAAGCATCGATCTTTATTTTTGTAATAATGCAAGTTTTTAATTATCTATGCAGTTTACAAGTTCAAACTGGGTGCGAAGTGAAGCATGGAGATTGTGCTAGACCGGCCGCTGGGTTCTTAACTTTGTTGTCAAAATAACGCATGTTATGTATCATCACCGTTAAAATATCACACACCTTTACACAATATATACGTCAGTTTTCACTGCATTTATTGTACAAACTGCTTCACCAACAGTAGCACAGATTCTTCTGGGATTGCCTTTGCCTTCCCAGCGGGAAATTCCTGGTTTGCAAGGGCTGGGATACCAAATTTAGTATGGCAGGCCGTCCACTACAGCATTAGTTGGCTTTTTATAGTGGTAGATTGGAGGATGTCCAATCGCATGAGAGCCACAACACAATGGGAAGGAGAAGGGCCGTAGCACAAGTTGAAAACTAATTTGTGGCAGATCCGTAAGGTAGAGAGCAGCAAAACAATCCTGAAATCATTCCAGAAGGTCCCCCAGGAAAAACGGGCAGGAAAACTGAGCTAGCAGCAGGATTGAAGCCAGACATCTCTCTGCACTATATAGCCGCTGGAGTCTTTGAGAACTGTAAGATTCAGAGGCTATTTACAAATAACAGCCCTGAATCTGGAGGTTACCATGGTAAACTGCAACAAGGAGTGGACTTTCTCCTTAAATGGACTGGGCTTAATTTTGGTATATTTAAATTAGGAATCAGAAAACTAGCAAAGTGATCATTTCCTGTTATAACAGATTTTGCCCTCTCCAGTGGTTGTTCCTGACCATGAATCACATCAACAAGTCAATTGATCTGAATCGATCCATGTTTTGTAGAATGCTGCAGTTTAGTTACAAAAGAAGAAAGTCAGGATGTACCTTCAGTGGTACCTGAGTAGTGAAATTACTGATTTCTCATGGTTTTACAGCACTCTGGTAACATTAACAACTTTTGCCCATGTGGTTAAGGCAGATTGTATTAACACTTCCTGGACAGGGAAGATGGAAGTGTGACACCTGCCACTGACATTCTTCATAACAATGCGTTTGGAAGTGTTTAACATTAATAGATTGATTTGGAACCATCTACAGGAGAGCAACAATCTATAAATAGCTTGACACTCAAAATTTTAGGTATGTTTTAAGGTGTTAACTCTGACACTTACCTACCTAAAGAGCCATTCAATGTTATGTTTGGTTTAATGAGATCATTGGTTTAACGAGATCATCATCTACAAACATGTCTTGGGCCAACAGTGCAAATTTAAATCCTAATAGTTAATTTTGTAGTTGAAATTTGGTATTTTCTCTAGGGCAGTCCAATTGACAACTCTGTAGAAGATTAGCTGGCTATTTCTAATTGCAGTTTTCTGTCTGTTGGATCTTGTGGGTGATTTCAGATCCACAGTATGAATTTAAGTGGAGTCTTCTGAGAGACTGGTTGGCTTTTCAGTTTGCACTCCTGATGGTTACTTGGTATTAAGGGCTGAAATGAGTTTCACAATCAGATTTCAGAAAACTTCACTTTAATGAAATTGACCAAGCTTTTGAAATACACTCTTTTAGATTTGCCTTAAATTGAATCCAACCAGATTTGGTCATTCTCTAGTAAAGTGCCAAAACAGCAATACTAACCAGTGGTGGTTACCATTTTCAGATTACTGAACTTCTGCCAGAAAGTTTAAGGGGCAATCCATGGATATAAGGTAGAATTAAGGTAGAATTAAGATGAAATGTCCAAGTATACGCGATCTTTGATACAATTTTCCAGATAAGCTTATGGTCACCCTCTCTGTCTGAAAACCATGTCACTCAATCTTTGGGCCGCCTGTGATTAAAGACTGAACCATTCCCTACTGGAATTCTAGAACTTTGGTTCCTGCCTGGTTGGGGGCCGTTAACGAACAACGTTCAGCATAATTGTGCTGCAGAGGGCAGAGGCCAAGCTCTTGTTTCCATGTATGAAAACATTTAAGAAAACACAATCACAAAAATCATTCTTGGCTATGCACCCAGCTGGAGAGAGGGAGCTTGGCTAAGTCACAATGGGATCCTGCTGTGATGGCATCAGTGGAAGGCCTCTGCCAATTTTCCTGGAAAGAGGATGAGGTTTTTGCTCTGTGAAGCGCGCGCACACACACACACACACACACAAAAATCATTCAAGAGGTTCCTCTTAAAATGGCTGGAGAACTGCCCTTGGGATTAGTCATGTTTTCTCTTCCTAGGTTTGGTGACAGGAAAAACAGTTTCCTGGATTTCCATCGCAGCGCTGCCAAAATGCATGTCTGTATTTACTTCCTCAAAAGGTTTGACCCATCTTTCTGATTCACTTGTGAAAGGCCACAACAGGGGTGTTGGTATCATACAGATGAGGCTTTGGCCAGCAAAGGCTGTGGGGCTTTACTTATGGCTGTCTGTTAATTCTCCATATTACAGGCGTGTTTTTGTTTTTACAAATAAAATCCCCTATTCTCACCAAACACAAACCTGAGAATAAAAATAATCTTTAAATTTGCCTAATCGCTTTCAATTCCTTTATACCATAACTGTAATTATACCATACCTTTTATACCATAACTGTAATTTTCTTTCTACACTTTCTCCCCTAATTATTTTGGCATTAGAGAATGAGTCACTTGGGTACCACCGGGTGTTCCTTCTAATTCTTTACCCACAGATTCAGAAATAGCACACTGCGATTTCCCTTGTTCTCATTCTCACTATCGGCCACCAGGAGGAACAGGATGTGCCTCTGGATTCTATAACAGTTAGAACTAAATCAAAGGGGTTTTTTAAGTACCTTATTCTCACTTGTCCTAACAGAAAGCACACGCACCCCAGCTGCTTTGTGGGAAAACCGCTTTGAGGCCCAGATCCAAATGCCCCCTCCACACAACTTCTTTTTATCTCACATTTGTGAAACCAACATGCAGTGACTTTCTGTCTTTCCTGCCCACCTTTACAGCCCAAAACATAAGAGGCAAAAATAGCATCAATTCCCTTCATGGGACTGGCTCAAGTCACGCTGCAGTGAAAATGCTTCAGGCTAGATGTTAACGGTGGGGGGCAAGGCAGAAGAGAGAAGTTGCTAGATACAGTGAAAAAGCTCTAGATACAGTGAGAACCAGTTTGGTGTAGTGGTTAAGAGCGGTGGACTCTAATCTGGAGAACTGGGTTTTGACTCCCCACTTCTCTACATGCAGCCAGCTGGGTGACCTTGGGTCTGTCACAGTTCTCTCTGACCTGTTCTCTCCTGGCCCCACTGGTGGACCTCCTGATGGCATCTGGTATTTTTGGGCCACTGTGTGACAGAGTGTTGGACTAGATGGGCTATTGGCCTGACCCAACATTGGCTTCTCTTATGTTCTTAAGAGCAGTTCTCAGTCAGAGTTCTCAGCCCTACCTGCCTCACAGGGTGTCTGTTGTGGGGAGAGGAAGGGAAGGTGCTTGTAAGCCACTCTGAAAAGCCGAGTGAAGGATGGGGTATAAATCCAACTCTTCTTCTGATTCGTAAAATGACAGCTCGGCAGCACAATGCAGACTTAATTAGGTTTAGAATGTGCTCATTGCCAAAAGATTTCAGCCAGCAGCAAGGCATATCGGATGAAGGGCGAAGGTCCACTGCCTATCTTCAGAACGGAAGAGTGAGAAGTCAACACACTCTAAACCTAACCTACTTCACGTGGTGGTTGTGAGGACAGAATGGAGGAGAAGAGAATGATGTCAGCCACTTTGGTTCCCCACTGGGGAGAAAGGCAGGGTATAAATAAAGTAAATATTCAGATCTGTCTCCTAGTACTGCATATACACAGTGTGCAATGAAGTCTTTTCCGGGCAGCATCCCCAACATTTTCTGGGCCTCTGGAGGTACGCTTCATATGAAGGTAAGAGGAAGATTCTTTGAATTAGTCGCCACTTTCCATTTAGAAGACCTGACAATTGGCTGTTTATGGAAATTTGTATCCTAAGTAGACGACTGACTACCTCTTGCTCTGCCATTGTATTCACACAATGCTATGTTAGCAAGTCCAGGCTTTCCACGGGTTTCTTCAGAATACAGCTTAAGTGCCCAATTACTTGGTTCTTAGTAAACCAATTTATTTGATGTCCTTTGGGTAGATAGATAAACAGACTTTGTGTAATTGCAAAGTAAGGGCACAGGTTCCATCATCCCTCCATGCCTTTTTATCCCCATCTGCCTTTTGCTGCCAGGGCTGTTGGAGACCAGGGGAGGACATTGCAGCTGGATTACTTTTCCTCAGCAAAGCTTTTAAACTGTTTGTAGCCAAGTGAGTGTGATTGCTATGAGAGGTCATTTCCTCCTTTTTGCCAAGGCTGTTCATTAAAGAGGAGATTTTTCTCCAAGACGTCAGCTATGTCTTCTATGGCACTGATAGTAAAGTTTACAGTTCTTATCATTAAAACTTTAGCATATTGTTTAATTCGGGAGAAAAACATTCAGCTTTGGAGTGACCGGCCTCAATTATCTTAGTTTCTTCCTCTGTTATAACTGAACTTTTTTTTCCCCCTTCAGATCCTCATTAGGCTGTTCTTTATCTGCAGAGGTTATCATTTGTTTGCCCCCACTCTTTTTTTGCTTACTCTCCCATTCTGCAATTTTCAGCTAGGGGGAGTGAAAGAATTAAATACAGGAATGGCAAATGCATGTGCCGACTCCATTGGGGAAAACTCCATTATTTTGGTTTGCTTAGAGGCAGGGAGAGAGAATGCATCCTCTTTATCACCCTCGCGAAGGCGTTTCCCTGCACCCATTTCCCCACATATAGAGTTGTCAGTAGAAACTCACCACCACCTCCTCCTCCTGATATCTATACTTGAAAGCTCTGATCCAACAAAGCTATTGTGGAAGTAAATTACATGACTGTGAGAAGTCCAATAAGTGGAGAAAACAGGCATCCGATATTATCAAACAATTAAAGGCTGAGAGATATTGTCGCTAGCGTTACTGCTTCGACACTGTCTTGATTCCTACGGAAAGTCAACTTTCTATCATCTTTGGCTACCAGTCAGCAGGGACTGCTAGCCAACCCCTTCCTGACAAAATTGATTTTCTTATGCTCTGTCCCATCGCCTTTTCTGCCCAGGCCCTTTGCTCCTTCCTCATTCTCTCCTCCTTAATGTCCGTGGTGGTCCTCCTTAATGTCCATTGTGCAGAAAAACTGGAGTCAGGTTTATTATATTTGGGGGTCACCTTTTCTGTTTGCAGGAG